AAACCTCGAAGAACGCAGTCCATAATTTGTCCTCTGCTATTACTGCCGGGATCTTCCAAGGTATATGGCTGCATGCGTTCCCTGATGTCACCGGCGTCGTCAGTCTCGCTAGCATCGTCAACGAGATGCGCTAATCTTTGCACCGAATTTCAACTCGTCATAATAGCAGGTGGCGACAATCCTCGATTAAATTTCAGACTAATTATTGTAGTATCCCTTACCCTTTGTTCCAGTTCCTACCGTATTATCTCCATTCCTCACTCCCACTTCAGTTGACCACTTTTCCCACCAAGTTATCTGTATCTCTGTTGATTGCAATGCATCCCCGGGGTTTGTCAATTCAAGTGTGCTATGGCGTAATCACTTTCATGAATAGCACAAGACAGGGATCTTCAAGAGTAGATAGGGGCAAGTGATAGAAGTTGGGTAAAATGGAGGTGCCAATTCGGATCAAGAAGCCTTGTAGACGAGTGCGAAAGTCATGGCCAAGATCTTTTCGCCCCACTAAGCACTCTTGCAGACACACTTGAGATAAATTGTAGCATACGAGTGTTGAAGATTGGTCATTTGAATTTGGATTGAGGAACGATAATACATAGGTAGGATCTAGGAAAGGGGGTGGAGAAGTGTCACAATCGCTGAACACGAAATTGTTCGAGGCTTACTTAGTGTCAGGACTGTCACCTCCCCCTGACTACCCAATTCGTTGCCGGCGAAATATCTGGGAATGCACTTAGTCAAGGGTTTGTTGCTAGACGAACACTGAAAACATGGCAGAGGACGCCGTACGGAGTACGCTTTTCTGGGTCTCCCTGAGAATGCGACTGCAGCGAAAGCGAGGTTAAACCAACTCACCTCGTAAGCTTTTTCTGTTACCACGAGCGGCCACACTGGAGTTGAGCTAGCGGGATCTGGCGAGCTTGAGGGCGAGACAGTCGCGGAGGCTAATCCTCTGGCTGATTCAGGAGTAGCACAAACTGATTTTTGCTAAGAAATGAGAATCTTGAAGGATTCCCATCATTTGCATTTCTGCTAAAGTCTTTGGTTGGTTATAAACACAAAATCGTAGAATCGTCGACTGACTGACCCGAACGAAGTCGATACTGCTTGGATGAGATAGCCCGTTCGGAGAACTCTTTTCACTCCTTCGTCGGCAGCCCAACTACA